GTGAATTCTTAACTCCTCACTCACTGCTCTTGAAAACTGAACAGGCAGTGCAGCCATTTTAAGCAGAAAATGAATGCTTTTACACCTAATAATCTCCTGAGTGAATTGGCTCAAGAAATTCCAAGGCTTGGCACTCAGTGTAGGAACTCCCATTACCTGAACAAAAGTACAAATCTGTAGTAGTGCAGAGGCAGTAGGAGCAAATCTGTAACAAATATAAACCAGTAGAAGGAGTCAGAGCCACACTGTATGACCAGGGAACATTGAGCACAGTCTGTACTGCATTAATGCTCTACATGGATACAATCTTCTACAGAGTTGGCTGAATCTGAACATTGATCAGCATGTGTTGCATTTTCCTTTGATCTTGTAATTGAAACAAAATATTTGGTTTAGGAAATCAGACTCAGGGAACAATTTCTACCTAACATTTGGTAAATCAATTAGTCTATCAATCAAATTCCCTCTCTGTATTTCCTGGTCTGTGACATGTGAGTAATGAGGTAAGAATGAACTAAACATATTGTAAGTAGACATTTGGTATACTAGAACTGCAAAGTATTATTCTATTGAGGAGTGCAGATCTCTGCTACCCTCAGACTGTTCAATTTCTGAACATTTTGAAAACTGTCCTAAATTCCCTTTTATTTAAAGTGCATAATTCTGTAGTTGTATAAGTAAAAAGGAACATGAGAAAACAATTAAGACTGTTTTTTGAAATAAGAAATGGCTAAGAAAATGCAGTGAAAATTTGTATTATTATACTAAAATATTAACTCACATTAGGGATACCATTCTCTACCCCAGTGATTCTGGTAGAATCATCTGTGTGTGTCCCACATATAGCTGAAAGGCTCTTAAATAATCCCCATGATTCCCGCTTTTATAATACTCATAAAACCTAAGTTTTTATTCATTTGCAGCTACTTTTGGTCGAAACTGAAAAGTTAAACCTCCAAATCTCCTGTAGGAAAAGGAGAGAAGTAAACAAATAACAATGACATCTGAAGATCTTTAGATATGCTTCCAACTGAGACTAGGGAGAAAGACTCTCATTTGCAGTACACACTGATTTAATTAGAACTGACATAGTATAGCCCTTAGATGATGTAAACCAAATTATTAAAAGGAAGCTCACTTTTGTGGTATTTTTAGAAGCATTGAAGGGGCAAGGAGGTACACTGAAGCTAGGTAAGATCCCCAACTTCTACTCCTGTTTCCCCTAGAGATATAACTCTACCTTCCCCAGCCTTGAGCTTGTCCTTCTCCAGACAAGACCTGCTTTTCCCTTCCTCTAGAAACTCTGCTGCTGAGCAAGCCAGCTCAGCACATTCCCTTCAGCCAACCAGCCACAATTTAGTCAGCCACAAACACACTCCTGGTAACCTATAGCTGGGAGGAGGCCCTCTTCAACTATGATGAAGGACTCCAGTGATCTTATCTTGATCTGCCTTGGAGGGGATAGGCTGCAAAACCTGAGTTACAATCAGCTTCAGATTGGATTATGAACAGGAGGCAAAAAGAGGTCTTTGGCAAGTACTGCCCATACTTTTGATGCAGATACTGACTTCTGCTTTACTATTTATCAGAATGTAAACTTGTAAAATGTGGATCTTATCTTTGGGAGCCACAGATGCGTTGGTACAATCTTCCCAGTCAGTGAGCTCTTACAGTGGAGAAATATTAATCCACTACATTTTGAACAGATTTATTTGCTGAAATCTTATAGGACCCTAGAATGACTTAGGTTGGAAGGGACCTCAAAGATCCTCTAGTTCTAATCCCCTGCCATGGGCAGGGACACCTTCTACTAGACTGGGTTGCTCAGAGCCCCATCCAGCCTGGCTTTGAACATTGCCAGGGAAGGGGCATTCACTTCTCTGGACAGCCTGCTCCAGTGCCTCGCCACCCTCACAGTTTTTCTTAATACCTAACCTAAAACTATGCTCAGTTTGGATCCATTCCCCTTGTCCTGTCATCACATGCCCTTGTAAAAAGTCCCTCTCTGTCTTTCTGGTGGGTTCCCTTCAGCTACTGGAGGCTGCAAATAGATCACCTCTAAGCCACTTCTTTTCCAGGCTGAACAACCAATTCCCTCGTAGAAGAGGTGCTTTGTCTCTCCAACCATTGTGGTAGCCTCTTCTGGATTTGTGGAGAAACACAGTGGAAAACACAGGCAATAACACAATTAGAAACCAACTGTCACTTGAGGGTGAGGCAAAGATGTGCAGTGTCAGGCAGGAACAAGTGCAGACCCCCTGGAATGACTCCATGCAATCTCTGGCTTTAGAAGACCATCACTACACACAGTTTGTACCTCCCTTTGTCCAGGAAGCAACTGCAAGAGTTTGGGAACAGCTGGAGATACGGCATGCCAGCTGTTTATATTCTCCACTCAGAGGACTCAGTGGCTGGAAAGCACGTTCCTGATTTAAAAGAGCATCTCCCTCCCCACTGTAGAATCCCAGAAGATAAGGGCCCCAATGTGTGTCTCAAACACTGGTATCTGCATGGCTGTAGAGCCAGTGAATCAGACAGGAGTCCCATCAGACAGGAATTCTTGGTAATAACAAGACTGTTGGTATTAACACACTGTGAGGAAGAACAAGATGTGACAGGAGAAAGGGGCCATGAGGAGGTAGGGCACCACTTTTCTTGGACAAACATCCTTGCTGAAGTTCTTGGAGGTAAGCACAACATAGCACAGTGAAAGCACAGGAATGAGGGCAAGAATTGGGCATGGGCTCTAAGGGGGGTCAAGACCACTCAAGACCCTTAATAGAATAGACTGTACATGAGAACTAATTTACATAGAGAGAAATGAGTCTTCAGGACAGGGAAGCCTATCCATAAAAAGGTATCCCTGCCCTGGACATCAGTTGGATTCCTTTCCTTTTTCCTTTTCTTCTTCCCTTTCCTTTCACCTTTCCCTTTCGCTTTTCCTTTCGCTTTTCCTTTCCTTTTCCTTTCCTTTTCCTTTCCCCCCCTTTAATTAATCTCTTCCTTTATCTCTTCCGTTTCCACCTTCCCCTTGAGAGGAATGTTGAATTTGTCTTTACAAATGAGCTGTGGATCTGCTTGTAGATAAGGCTAGCACTGAGAGATAAAAGAAACAATGGGATGGATTCCACCGATTGATGAATGGAAAAAGATATTTGCCTTTACAAACAAACTGTAGGGCTGCTGGTAAATGAAACTGGATATCGAAAGATGAAAGAAGCAACGGGGGGGAAACGATGAATTCTATAAGAATTAAAAATTAAAAGGGAGGGTTATACATTAGAAGGGAATTTCAGGTATCAGGCGTTCCGGGAAGTCTGTGCCTCTCAAGTACCTCAGCCAATGGGGAAAGAGAGAGGGAAATGCGGCTGGGAAAATAGGATAAAAAGGAGGCTGCGTCCTCCAAAAATTTGAGAGATCCCAGGGGAATGTCCCATGGCCTCTCTCTTTATTCGAATAAAGCAAAAAGGACTCCTCTGTCTCCTTTTTGGACATAAACTTCTGGTGTTTGTGGATTATCCTGACACCCTTAACATAAAACCCACTGCCGTGCGCTCACCGTGCATGTCAGATACTGACTTACACCAACTTCTACGCCGAGTGTGTGATTTCCTAATCAAATCTGTTTGTTTGCGGGCCCTGTTGACCGGCTCCCTACAGACCAATCGCTTTTAGGGAATTCGAACCCTTTCCCTTTAAGGCCGCTTCCGCCGCGGCACGTGACGTCACTTCCGGTAACGGGCGCGCGTCTCGTCCCTCCGGTTCCGTCCTACCGCCGCCGTGCCCGGAGCCCCACGCCGGTGCTCGGCCGCCTGACCCAGGTAAGAGCGGCCACCCCCGGCTGTCTCCCCGGGGGCTTCCTGTGGCTTTAGGGCTTTCCTGAGGCCTGGGTAAACGGGGAGGTGTGTTGTCGGGAGGCAGGGCCGCTGTGCGCACTGCTGGCGGCGGTAGTGGGTGTAATAAACGCGGTTTATGGAATCACGGCGTGCTTTGGGTTGGAAGGGATTTTAATTTTAAAATTTTAAAGATCGTGTCGTGCCAAACCCCCGGCTATGGACAGCGACGCCTTCCACTAGGAGAGGTTTAAGAGTTCCATCCGGCCTAGCCTGGCATGTTTAATGTGTGACGTGTTTACGGCCTGCTAATGCATACGTTAAAAAAAGAACACGGGCTTTAGGCTTCTTTTGCATTTTTTTGAGGATGGATGTTCTGTAGGCAGTAAACGGACACGTTTCTGTTAAAAATGAACAAAATTAAGTCTTGCGACTTGAGGAGCCTTGAGAGCTTGGCGAAGTTTTTCAAAGAGAAGGCCCAGTGTGCATATACAGGCCATTAAAACTGTTAAGCAGCACCTACCAGAAAGGCAGGTGGTACTTAAAGGCATTTAAAGTGCCTTGTAATGAAACTTCTTTATCTCTCATGTTGCTGCAAAGATCAAAATGTCCCCTGTTGGGAAGGATAAGGATTTGACAGGAGGGTCTCACAGGTATGTATGTGTTACAGAAAGATCTTTGAATGTAGAGTCTGAAGAAAGAATTGTAATTATAGGAAGTTTTGATATAGAAGAAAAGAATTGCTGAGTCTTACTGGGCAACTAAACGGCAAAGAGCAAGTAAGTTGGAAGAGGCTTTTTATGACTTAAAGCAAAGGATAAATCCACCTCAAACAAAAGATGCTTTTACTAAGCAAAAAGATTTTCACAGGCAAACAAGAAAGCCAATGTTGCAAGTAGAGAAAAGATCTCAGAATTTTCCACTGCAAGAAAACTGAAAAACAACTTCTAGCTTAAACTGTAGCGTACTAACCTTTTGCGATTAGAAAATAGTAACATGAATATAGTAATGTTATCAGTTAGGATAGGCTATAGATAATAGTAAAAGTATTGATTGTTTGTCATGTATTAAGATGCTCTGTAGTGAAAATACATATAATATAACGCATATAATATATAATGCATTGTAACCAGAACTAGAAAAGGTTCAGACGAACCTACAGCTGTGGGCTGGGCTCTTGTCACCCACGACCCGTGAATTGCTGTATCATTTGGATATAATAAACAGCATTTTAAAGAGCTACCTGGACCCCGCATCCCTCATTTTTGGCTCTTACAGCCCCCCTTCCTTAGGCTTTGTCACAGCTTTCTGACCACAGGCTGAATTGCTGCCAGCGTCGTGGAATGGACTTTGACTAGCAAATTAAACTTTAGATGATGCCAATTAAAAGGCCTCACTTTTGAGACAAACAAAAATGGAAGAACTGGATTTTAAAATCAACATTGAAATGTTTTGGCGTATTTCTTGATTTTTAAAAGTATAAAAAACCACTCCAAATCTAAAATACCTGGATATTGCTAATCCTGTGGCAGTATGACTGTTGGTAAAGAAATGAGAAAACACTCAACCCAAGGCTCTTCTCCAGAGTATGAAAAATTTGAAATTCATTGGTAGAATTGTCAGGCTTCATATCAGAAAAGCAGTGCACAAGTCACATAAACCTTTCTGATAAGTGTCTTTCTCTTTGAAGTGGTTTAAGATTCTTAGCATTGTTTTTTCATCTGTGGTCTGCTTTTCCTCTAAATAAATACACAGTAGACTGGAATGGACTGGCCACCGTATCTCCAGGTAGATGGTTTTTTCCCACATCAGTAAAATCGATGCTAAGAATACAAACATCTCATTGTTACTGCGTTATATTGAACCAAAAAATGGGTAAACATGCTTCTAATAGTGAACAGCCAAATAAAAATAATAGCACAGCAGAATAAAAACCAGCTAAATACAGATTTGAATTGCTGTTCAAAATGGTACAGAGAGGCGCTGCATGAATTGCAAATACAGAAAGTTGCGTTCTGGTAAAGGGAAGTGCTTTTTCATGTATTGTGGAACTAGTGGCTAAAGGAAACTAGGTCAGCAGTTTAAAAGGATTGAAAAAACCTCTTGGCTTTAATTCCAGATATTCATATTCATGGTGCTAATACCAGTGGAGAGTGGCAGCAGGTTTTAGAAGTAGTAAACTCTCCATAGTTTACAAGTATACAGGAGGTGCAAACTGCAGGCAGTTCATTTCCTTTTTGCTGCAAATTTGGCAGGACAGTATTCAGTATTGATTGTTGTCCCCACTGTGTGTAAACTGATTTGTCCAAGGAGACAGTCTTTTGCTGCGCAAGAAGTTCCTGGTAGGTCCAGTACCAAGAAAAGTATATGTTTTAAAGACCAGTCAGACAAATTTAGTATCACTTTAGAGTGAACTTGAACTGAAGTGTGACAGCATATCTGAGTGTAGGAGCTTTTATGAAAACCTCTCATGAACAAGTGTTCTGCACATACATGAAGAAAGCTGTTTTTATTATTGTACTTATTCTGGGTATACTGATGGGTTGGAGCTGAACAAGAGCCAGGTTATACTGGATTTGTTCAGAAGAAGAAACCACTGTGTCATCAAAGATGCAGAATTTGTGACAGTTGATTACAGAAAGTAAAAATGTTTTATGAATTGTGCAGATGGAGTTGAAGGTTTGCATCAGTGGATGTAGATGGGGCTGTGGTGAATGAAGGATATTTGATCCAAGCTGAGGTAACTGTTTTCCCATAGGATATCCACTATTGGCTGAAGTGTAAATGAGCCTGTAATATTATTTTCTCCCTTAAAATTTTAATCTCCTTTTAAAACTCTATACCGTAGCTAGGTGAGAATAACCTTTGCAAATCCTTTGAAGCTCAAGTGACTCAGCGCCATCGCAAGAGACTGATAGATGTGAGCTGTTTTGTAGGATGGCTCTGTGCAGGCTTTTATGGTGGCTGGAGCCTGGCTTTGAAGGCAGGAATTTCTTGGCTGTTTCCCAATTGTAATGCAGTGCAAATTATGCCCTGCTTCACTACCATGGCTTGAGTTGGGATATTTTTAAGAGGATCGAGATAAGCCTACTGGTGTATACCTGATATTTAATTGTAGGCTTTTTTATTTTTGCAGTGGAAATCTTTCTTGCAAACAGGATTGTGAGTTGGCATTGCAGGAGTGCTCTAATTGTACTAGATTGCTTTGCAGCTGCCCCAAGCTGGCTTGAAAGGACAAAACAAAGCAGGCCTGTGGACACAGTGTTGACTAGTGGGCAAGTAATTATTTATTATCAGCAGTAATTCTTGTCTGTCACAGATTAGAGCCTTTTGTACTCAGAACTTTGCAAACATGGATTTCTCTGCCCTAAGGAGTTTTGTGGCCAAAGAACTTAATCCTCATCTCTGGTAGCTTTAAATTTAGGATGCTGATTGTTCTGTTGCCCTACAGCCACAGCAGTGAACTACAGTGTTAGAGCAGAAGTTACACTTTGCTGGACTTGCACATGAACTGCATTCACTACAGGTTGTGAGTCAGAACTCATGAGAGGGAGGACAGTGCCAGTTTTCAGGAGCTGACAGAGATGGTTTGCCATATTGATGATGTTCCTGTGTTTATTTTGAATTTGGGAGCAGTTTTATGTGTCCTGATCAAATGGTTTGGGGTTTGTTTCTGTTTTCTCTAGTTTGTTTTTTTCCTCTATGCAATCTGTAAATATCCACGAAAAGAAGAAATAATCTAAGTACCTAATCTCATTTTTGTTAGGTGAATAATCAGGAAAAGTAAAAGATCTGAGCTAAGTATGAAGAAAAGGCCTTTTAGTGCTTAAGGAATATGTAAGAATTAACATGATGAGTGAATTGCAGTATTTAGCAGAATGCTAAATTGCTTTTTGTCTTCTGTTTACGTGTTACAAAATATTTTAAATACACCACTTTTATCCTGAACTCGCAGTTTTAATTCCAGTTGAAAACCATGTGCATGATGCTAACACCGAGCATTTTTCATTTCTGCTTAAGTGGTTTCCTATTGCCATGTTGACAGACGCATGTAGCTTCCACTACTTTCACAATGTATCCTCAGCAAAATCTCTCATAGAAGTATTTATGGCCTAGTTAGAGTTTATATCTTTCACTATGACAGGATTTTGCTGGAGGAAGGGGGGCGTGAGCAGGAAGGGAAGTTTGTTTTTGTTTATTAAGTCAGCTGGCAACTGCTTCCTAAGGCTTATGTTAAATCACCTCTAGATATATTAAAAGATTATTTATAAAAGCCACCTGAAAATTGACTGCAGTTTCTCTTTTTTCCTGGGTGTGCTTTTCTTAAAAGGGGTCTGTAGTTCTCCTCTTTGTTGTCCTGGAAGAAAAATATAGTTAATTTTGCTAGTAGTATTGTGCACAACCATCTGTATTTTGTTTGTTTTTATTTCGTATACCTTAATATGGCATTTAACTTGTTGTATCTTAGATAAGTAGTCATGTTAATGCTACAGCAAACTGCTTTTGATTGTTACCTGTGTAGTTGTGCTTATAGAGTCTGCAGAAGATGGCATATTTTCTTTCTCCTTTTCATATTTGTGTCTTTTCTGTGGTTTATTAATAATGTCTGATGTTTCCATCCCTTTTTGCAGTTTGTATTATCTACTTTGGTTTATAGTATATTGATATGTTGACTGCAAAGAGAACAAGGTGTTTCTTGTTTCCTAAGGAGTTTATGGAAATTCAGTAATCTTTCTGAATAAAAGAGAATTTATTCAGAATTTTTCAGAAATTTCAGAATATTCGGAAATTTTACACCTATGGAAACTTATAAACATTTTTTTTAAACAGACCTAAATGCAATGCATAAATTTTCTCATGAAAATGGTTTACTTTCGCAATCTAAAGTCCTTCCTCAAATACACATTCTTATGTTTTTTTCCCCAAAAACATGGCAGCTCAGGGTTATTAAAAGGGAAGTTTGTTTCTGGTTAAGTTGGTGTTATGAAGTTGTAGAACATTTGTCATCACAGTTTTTTTGCCCCAGTGTCCTTAATCAAAGAAGTCCGTTTCTTTTGTATTTTATACTTATGGGTTATGAACTTTTCTTTGCATTCTCAAAATTAAAGATCTTTTAAAGTGTTACCAGTGTAACACAACCACAGGTTATGTGTTGTGTATCATAGGTCTTATTGCTTGATAATGAAATTATTATTTCCTTTAGAATTACCCATTGTTCACATTACTTACCTAGCTAGAATTTTTCATTACTTCTCTTATCTGAATATTTCTACTATCCTTAATTTTTAAAGTGGGAACTCAGTGCCAAATAAAATCTGGTTGAAAGTCAGTAAATTCAAATCAGAAAACCTATCTAATAAACATTGTCTTCAGAGACTGACTTAGGTTTACTTGTTCAAAATACAAAAAAAAAAAACACTTGAAGAACTTTGAGGAAAAGTTTGTTTGTTTGTTTTGTAATAACTGAAACATAACTGCTGAGGGCAGTGTAGCTTCTGGGTATGTTTAGAGTCTTGGAGTTCCTCCTATCCTTGGCTTTATCATTCTGCAGGTGTGAGTACACAACCCATGTGTTCATTTTGGCAGAAGCAATTGTTTGGAGTTTCTGGTGGACACGTTTTCTAATGTAGTTTGCTCTTGTTATTAATGTTACCAAAATTATTTTAGGCTGTTGACTGCTGCCTCATTGTTGGCATGTGCCAACACTGGGACATATCCTGTTTAGAGATTACTTATGCTGAAACACCAATGTAATGAAAAGAGGGAGATCTCTACACGGCAGGAGTAGGAACTTGCTAGTTTCTGTTGAAGTGAGACACCAATGATAGCAAAATGTATTTGTTACCTTTTCCTTCTATATTCCTATTCTTCTTCTGTCTTATTCCTTAAGTGTAACTTGATATACTGGAAAGAATTTCAAATATCTGATTGTTTATCCTTGTAAAACAGCTCCAGTTAATTTTGGTAACACATACTTGCTACAGGCTTTTGCTAGTTCTTTTTTCTGTTCTTGCTGGTGCTGGATACACTGAATAAGGAAGAGAGATAAATTGGAATTTACCACTACGCTCATGCCTGCCCGTCAAATCAAGACCGTAGTGGGTTAAGTGGTGTTAAGATCTGTAGGTGATTGTTGTTGGATTACTTTTCTCCCTGTTTATGTAAGTGTAGGGAACATGCCTTGACAGACACCTTCTAGCAAAACTTAGTTGTATTAATGACAGGAAAAATCTAGTTTCTTTTGTAGCTTCGAGGGGTTTTTAATGCTGTATTATATGACTAAAGGTTAACAACAAACATTGTTTCTGAACCCTTTTAACCAACCTAACATGGCAGATTACAAAGCAGGTGGTTGGGTGGATAGAACAAAACACAAACAGTGTTATTATGAATGTCAGAAATAATTGTATTGATGCTTTGCCTTTCTGTGGGCAGCATCTTGTGGATCCAGCTCAGCTTTCTTCCTTGGGTCTGCCACAGCTGAGGGAAGTAATACTTATGTGTGTGGTGTGTGGGTCACATGCTGGGGTAGAGACGGGACCTTTGGCATGGTTGGCATTGTGATTCTGTACTCAGTGTGAAAACCAGCTCTGACCAGGATGAGCAGTCATGCAGCTGAGTAGGATTATAATTCTTAACTGTGCAAACAATAGCAGTGAAAGTGGGCTTGTTAACTAGCTGATCATATTTCTAGAATCACACTGGTGTGGTTAAAACTGAAGTTGCAGACAAGCTTGAATAGCTCCACACTGTTTTTTCTCCCAACCATCTTCCTTTTTGACCTCCAAGAGACAATATAAATAAAAATAAACCTCTCTCATACATCCCATGCTCTTGCAGGGAAAGGGAAAGATCAAATTGTTATCTAAAACGAACTCCAGTGCTGTGACAGCTCTTTTCTGTTTGTATTTGACTGTGTGGCTTGGTGTTCATAGAGAAAGTGCAGTTTCTCCGAATTCTATTCCCTTCCTCTTGTACTCAGCACCTGGAGAGTGGGATTATCACATTGATTCTAATAAGAAAAGTCTGCAGTGATCCAGGTGCTCCCACTGTTCTTGATGCAGCTCACCGAATAGACAGGAAAATTACATATTTCTTCTCTTTTTTCCTTAGATAATTTGGAAAGTTGTTGCTCAGTAGAAGTTGAAGAAAATAAAATAGCTTTAAGTAACATTAACTCCCCAAGATAATACATGATTTGTGATTTAAGAGGAATTAAAGATCCTGATTATAAACCAGAAGCCAGATGGCATGGCAGTAGCCATACCATGGTACTATAAATTCTGGGAACAAGAAAGGGGTGCTTTGGGATTTTTCACATCTTCTTTCCTAGTTCCTGTGCACTGATGTGTTGACAAGATTGCAAGAGTAATCTGAAATCTCAAAATCAACTCAGCTTTGTTAAAGATAGAGTTGTATTGGGGATTATAGTACCCCATAGGGACTTCAGAAAATGGGATACAGGGTTCACAAGAAAAATATTTTGGATCTACTCCTGAATGAACTGACCATAACATAACTGGTGCTGAAGTAAAGTCTGTTCCTAAGACATACTGAAGCTGTATCCCTATTCGTTTGGTTTGTGGTTTGTTTTTCTTTTTTGGTTAGTTAATTAGTTAGTTTTGGTTTTGGTTTTGTTTTTCCTGGTGTCCTGCCTGCTGCTTGATGCAGCTCTTTATATAGTGCAATTTATAGAGCACTTCTTTTAAACATGCAAATAATTTCTTTCTATCACAAATCATAAAAGCTAAATACTGTTTTAGGACCATTGCAAGAATAGGTACTAAATTCATGTAAATTGTAATGCTCCTTCATGCCATTTTGCACAGGAGTTAGGAGATATCTCTGAAATTACAGGACCTTTAATTGTGATGCTGCTGACATTACCTGTTAGAACTCTTCACATGTAGGCATTTCTTATAATGTTTAATGAATGAATGCTAATGCTTTGTGTTGTAAATTACAGTCTTTTGACTCTGTAGGTACTTAATGAAATGGATTATTATTTTTGTTTCCACTTTCCAGATGGAAATGTCAGAAGATGATAATAACACGGAAGAACTCCCCACTGAAATTCATGATTATCTTGCAGCATTTGAAAAGTCCCTTAATTCTGTAGATGAGATGCTGAAGACAATGATGTCAGTTTCTAGGAGTGAGATTTTGCAAAAGGTAAGTTATCTTCCTTTTGGAAACCTTTTCCTTATTAATACACAAATACTTGAGAGCCTAAACTGAAATAAAAGGGTCTGTTAGGCCAGCCACTGCACTGAGAAATAACAAAAAATTGCATTCCTACGCTTGACACCTACTGTTAAATTCTTACATTTCTAAGAAATCCAGATGGTCTTACAAGCTCAATAATGAAACACATGGTCTTCCAAGCTGATAAGTGATCATCTTACCTGTGAGCCATTTAGCTCGAGGACATTATAACTTAATCCTGGCCTTCCTTAACATGATCTTCCATAATGGAGAGGTCATTCACATTTTTGACTGAGACTTCTTCCCAACAAACTGAATGTAAGTGATGTACCCAGCAGGATGTAAAGGTGAACTGGCAGAAGTAAGAATTGATCTGATTCCAGAAGTCTAGACTTGCAGGACCTGAGCTGTCTCCTCTAGCTGTGCTATAAGCATAAGCAAAATGTGGCTTTTTATCAGAGCAAGGTAGTGCCTGAGAATTTCCTGTAAGCATCTCTGTCTTGTAACATTTAAAGCCTAATGTGTAATTTCTTTCTGTAGGGCAGAAAAAGCACATGAGGGAACTTCTTTATCCTGTGAGGATTTCTTACACAAATAAATTATGAAGAAAACCATCTTGACAACACAGATCTTTTGACAGTATCCATGTTAGAACTAGTGAGCTGTACAATGATGTTATCAGATTTTATGGAAGCTGTGTAGGACTAAAATAATAAATTGACTTTGACAGTCAAGGGAAGCAAAAACCCCTTCATTACCTTTTGTTCTTCCTTTGCTTTATATCCCTAAGTATTCTAGCATGCACTGAGAGCACAGTCTGTTATGTGTCGTGTTAACATTCATTGATTGCATATTATCGTTTGAGTTTCAGCAACTTTTAAACTTTTTTTCCTTTCATTCATAGCAACAGCTATTTTGAATTAAGTTTCTGTGGAAAAACGAGGACTTATTTCTGACTATGGGAGCAGTAGTCCAAGAGCTACATCTAAATGATTGTGCCTTTGGTTGTTTGGGACTGTGGCATTTGACTTCATACTGCAAGAATTGCATGAATACTGGGAGAGGAGAGAATGAATGGTCCTGTGATGGCATGGAAATAAGGCATAAACATAGTCTCAGTAAACTTGTGATGCAAAAATGTGCTCCTCCAGTGTGTATGTTTTTATTCATACATTCACAATTATGCAATGTGCACGTTACTACAATCTGTTCATATCTTGCTTAAAATCTTCAAATATGATTTTTTTTTTTCATTCTAGTTAGATCCTCTTGAGCAAGCAAAGCTGGATTTGGTTTCAGTGTACACATTAAATTCTATGTTCTGGGGTAAGTATGTGGTAAAAGGGAAAACGTAGTATTTATGATTACCACTTGAACACCTAGACAGCTGCAAACACTAAATAATCATATCTCATAGCTTAATAATTAAAAACTTGTAATTACCTTGAAGACTGACATTATTGCCATCCATAGGGTAAGTGATGTTGAAACTCTGAATCAAAAATCTGTATTTAGAAAAGCTGATTTTGTATGTGCACGAGTATGTTTCTGGTTTCTTTGTGACAACCTTTTCTGTCTTTTAAAGGACTGAAAGTTTAACGATTTTAGTTGTTTGAGGGTATTTTAGCTGCAATATTTGTTAATAGTTCGTCAGATACTTAATGACACAGTTAACAATTCTTATTAATGATTTTTGTGTGGAAGCTTTGATTTTCCTATGTGACTGCTTGATACGGCCCTCAGTCATAGACAGCCTTCAGTTTCAAAAAAATTTTGTTTTTTTTCTTCTAGTATACCTGGCTACCCAGGGAATCAATCCAAAGGAACATCCAGTGAAACAAGAACTGGTGAGTTGCTTATGCTGCATGCATCCTACTTGTGCAGGATGGTTAGCCCAAATAGAAGTTAAATAATGTTTATATCTACATTTAAAAATGATACATTGTTGTAATAGCATGCATATGCTACATAGTGTTATGTAGCTATATATATCTTCTGCTGGGCTCTCTCAATTAAGAAAGTAATTTTTTTTACTTTTAAACAGTACTGTTTAAAGTTGTAGAATCTGATGAAATTAGAAAAGGATGATGAATGATATAATCTTTTCTTTTTTTCCACCTTTGGTTGAGAATCAGATTCTGTACAGAGCAGCTTTTCACTTGTATCTCTTAAATGGAAAAATGTTACATGCCTGATAATAATATATAACTTCCAATGTGGCCTTTTTTTCCTTATAAATACTTGGAATCATGTTAATCTCTGTGGCTGCCTTTTCTAACTTTTGTATGACTCTAAAAGTGTAGTGTGGCTGATTTACTAGCGAAGACGGGAAAGTGCCCCCCTTCCAAGCCCTCCATTAATTCATTTTCTCAGCAGTAAAGAATCCAGTTCAGCAACAAAGCTAAAAGCTTTTTTGGCACCAATTGTATGTGTATTGTCCAGTAATTCTGCATTAGTGACATATTTATGACCTATAATAAATCTTTAGTTTTGTCTTTATATTCCATTTAGATGCATGACTACAGTATAGAAGGCCAGCTATCTTGAAAATTCTGCTGACTTAAAAAACGGAATCATTTAGCCCAAAGAAAAAACAGAAATCAAAACTTCTCACTACTCATTTTAATTCCTGAATAAATGAAAATATTAAATCTCAGCAGATGTAAAATAGCTAGCTTAAATGTAATCCTTACATAACCAGTGGAATGGAAGAGAGGACTGAAAAACGTGGAAAACTAGCCTGAATAACAAGAATACTTCTATTTTTAATTTTGTGAGGTTTTCAGTAGTCTAGACTGTATCATATTAAAAAATGCATCAGTTAATATTTCATGAGCTTTCTGTCAGTTTTTTGTTCCTCCTATATTATATAGTGTCTGAATATCGTGCTAATTTGGTGATACTAAAAACTCTTATCTCTTCTGCTGTGAATATTTTATGTGTGTATTTTGCTTCACAACTGCCATTTTAACTGAAGAAAGAGTGAATATTTTCATAGCCTAGATTGTTGCTCAGATCTCTTTTCCTTTTTCAAGTATTAAGGTCGAATTTATGCACATTTCTTCCTTGCAAAGGCATTGTAATGTTCTTATTCATGTGGAAAGGGAATTTTAAAAGACTGTTCTGTCACGATTATTTTGTTTTTAGAATTGCTCTCCTTGTGTACATACAGGTATTCAAACTCTACTAATAAAACTCACATTCAAGCTATCAGAATTAATTTATTTTGTCAAGTTGACATTTTCCAGCTCCTTTTCTCGTTGTTAATACGTGTAGGTTTGCCATCTGTTCTCATTAGCTATCTCAGTCACCAAAGAAATATTATGGCTGATCATGATTTCAGACCCTGTAAAGCACTCCTAGTTAAAGCTGTGTTTTTGATACAGAAAGAGTGGCCAAGTTTTTGACAGTTGCTTAATAATGATCACTGAAGAGTTGAAAATCAGTTGTGTTGTGTAAGTCTTGTAACTTTTGTTCCAGATTCAAACAGATGGCAATGACTCTGTGAGAAATGTGTGGGTTACATATCTAAATTTATTTTAGCAGTATCCACATGTGTTCTGTTCATCCACATTTATAATTCAGCTATCAGGTAGAGTGCTACATATATGTGTATATATATGTTACTGTTTGTATGACAGTAGCACTCAAAGGCCCTACAGTTAAAGACCATATTAGGCTAAATATCTAGACCTGAAATCTGTAAACTAAATTGTTAAATATTTTGCAGAGTTTCTGTAAGTGTACTCCCTAGTCAGTGAAGAGAAGCAGGCACTTTTTGCGAGGGGGATTCTCATCTTAAAGCTGCTTAGTACCCTCTCAAAGTTATTTTCTTTATTTGTTGCAGGAGCAGACGAGGATGAGTAGGCACAAAAATGAGATTGTTAAGCTGGGAGGGTATAATTCTGTAGGGCTGAGTCCAAGTCATGGTTTCGTCAAAAAAAGTCCCCATAAACACCAAATAACATTGGTAGGCTAAGATATGTCAAGAAAGCATCCCCTTTTCCCTGGAAACAGGTCTGTATTGTTCTTTATGGCCATAGAATGATCTTCTGATATGGCTGGAAATTCATCAGGCTGCCCAAAATAAGTTCTTTCATAAGCCCCCTTGACCATTTCAGGAACTTAACCCCTAGACTTCTGGATAGTTGCACGTGTAATGCTTGTACCGTCTTTGATTTTGTGTAAGATGCTTTTTTAGCTTTGCTTGGACTTGCTGAATTTTTTTTTTTTTTTGTTGGCAGTAGTCAGGCAGTATAATTCATCCATAAATGTCAAATACCTAAATATTATTTTGGCATCTTTATGTAGGTCAAACTCCAAACTGAGTTCAGTATTTTATTTTCTAACTTTGCTTGCAAGATCAGTTCCCATATCTCTGCAAATTAGATGCAGAGTCTGCATCTCTGTAGAGCTTTGTGCTCCTGTTATAGCGAGTGTGATGCAGATGGTATGGAAGGTACCTGTGATGGAAAATATGCTAAAGGGAAGACTCCAGTTTGCGGAGGGCCTGGTATATTTATTTAAGTATGTTCTTCTTCTAGATATTAAAGTTCTAGAAATGTACAGTGTGGGGAGCTTCTACTCATTGACTCATTTTAGCTGTAATCTTGGGAGAATGATTAGCAATACTTTTCCTTTTTTTTCCCTCCCTAGGAGAGAATAAGAACATACATGAACAAGGTCAAAGAAATAACAGACAAGAAAAAGGCATCCAAACTCGATAAAGGAGCTGCTTCTAGATTTGTAAAAAATGCACTCTGGGAACCAAATGCAGAAAATGAACATAGTTCTCAAACTTCTGCTAAAGGAAAAAAGTTACAGAGGGACTGAATCTTTTTTCCCCTTGTAGGAATTGCAGACACCTAGAACTTACTTGGAAATGTTTTGCATACTGCATGCATCTCATAGAAGTGCTGTACAACAGGTTAATTTATAGTCATGAACTTTACAGGATTGTATTTTGTCCAGAACACTTGTCACTGAGGTGGTCACATTTAATGTGTATCTGAAAGTGCCATTTGATGCACATTTGACATTTCATTACTCAAATGATAATGACCTGACATATACTTGCTGGTAATAAATACTAGTGATATTTTGTTTATAATGCCTGTGATTTCAATATTTTTTTAATGATTTATTGACACTTTTTGATGTCCTCAACCTCCTCAATATTAAAAAGTTTCAAACACTGCTATCCAGTCTGTGGTGTTAATGAAAGAGAATTGTGTGAAATGCCATATTTGTGGAGTTTTGTATGGTTTATTCACTGTGTTAAACTCTTTTCAGCCTTTCAGCTTGAATATGTGCAATATTCCCTTACTTCTGTTGCCTCTGAGAAAGCAGGTCTTCAAGAGCCACAAGCAAACATCCTGAATTCCACTCTAAGCCCCTGTGTCTAGTCAGTGGAAAAGTTAGATATCCCCTAAAGACAGTATGTAGGGTCCAAAAAAAGGAGCAGGCTGGGAGTATCTGCTAGGAAACAGCACATGGAGGAAGTTGATGGAATTTTGACTGCAGTGCTCATCCCTTAGTGCTGATGCTCGGAGAAATGTGCTCTGGGGTGGTAGGAGTGTTGCCATCTATTGGTGTTTCTCAGATCTTCATTAGGGAAAGCATCCTCTGGTACAATAAAGACTGCTGCTTCATCTTGCAAATACTGTATTTTTACTCAAAATGTGAAGCTTTGTTTAGGAAAGGAGGGGTGATAGGTGGGTTCAGTTTTCAATATGCCACAATGCAAAGCTCAATTGTCTGCCCAAAAGCTATTTAACAATTAGCAAGGAATTAAAAATTACGAAGGAAAAATAGGTGATTTAGCTCACAAAAATGCAGTTTGGGTAGCAGTCCATACAAGTGTTTGGGAAATGTTAGTGTGAAAGATTAAATGATAAGAACAAAGGAATCCACTATAGCTCTAGTACTGCAAGCTGAAAGATGTTCAGTGGATGGTTACTGTCCTTGGCACTGTACTTCAGCAGGCAATGCAGAGTGTGAACTGAATTGAGTTATACTAAAATGAAGATTTTTCTCTAATTACTATTTAAAAATACATATTTGAAAGTAAAAATTCAATGCATGGACAAGTTTATGAAATTCATTACATGTCTAGAAACTTTTTTAGTGACTGGTATGAATTTACCTATTTTTATTTACAATAAACTCTTCCGGTAAATAACAATGCCTTCAATCCATCTGACAGGAGAGCTATTTAGGGTACCTAACCTTGGTGCCTCAAATCACAGGACTGCTTATGTGAGTATGCATGTCAAAGCTAAAATAGCAGTGCTTTATTTCTTCAGGTTAATGTCATGATTGTGTCAAATGAAGGAGCTGTTGGACTGGGAGGGGTTTTTTTGTTTAATGTAGGTTAAAAATTCAAAAGAGCCAAAGTCTGTTCTTGACCAAAAGTAACACATTTGTGTAAAGCAGTTCTTCTAAATAGGTTTGGATGGTGTTTATTTGGAAGTCTATGTGCCTGTCTCATACCCCTTTTAACCTGGTACTGCAGATGGCAGTATTAGGCTTTTATAAATAGACTTTTGGACTAGGTATGAATGTTGAGGTCTGCATGTACAAAGCACAGGGTTCAAAACATTAGTCTCAAACCCACTGATCTAAAAAAAAAAAAATTCTTTTTTTTTTGGATGTTCATTGGACTAGTGGGGAAGAGGGTTGGATACAAGTGGTCTGAAGTAGCACAAACCAGAGTACTTTAATACAGAAATTTTCTGGGAGATAACATCATTTGCTTTGAGAGGCATTGTCTTGAGGAAATGAGTAGCTCAGCTTGTAGTTATGCACAGTGCTGTTAATTAAAAGGGGATTGGAGAACATTTCCATTACATGATTTTCCTCTTAAACTTCAATTATAGGTTTTGTTTTAAAAGGATAATTTCTGAAAAGGATCATAATTCATTGTCCAGTAAAGCACACAGGTTTCATTGGTAAATGTTTAAACAAGAGTAATGCAAGGCTATTAGCTAAGACTTAATGAGGTAGAAGTCCATCTGGCATAATTAATTATATGCAGGTATTTGACATTTGTAATAGGGCAGTTTAAATGGATATATAGCATATGCAATTTTGTGAAATTTTTTTTAAGACTTGCATCATTCAGTAAGGCTGTTAATAGTGTGGATTGTGGCTTTGGTTTTCTGACACAACACAACCCAGACAAATACCCCACAAACTAAGACTCCTCACCCTGTACTTATTTTTCACTAACAGCCCTATTAGAAAGAAGCTTGAAATCATGATTATGAATGCTAAGTGATTTTTATATAATTGAAGTGATTACTTTGTTAAAGATTTTATTTTGGTTTAATGAGTTCTTGGAACTTTTCTTGCTTTCCACTCTTTGCACCAAGGAAGTGGTGAGGTTGGTGAGAGAATGTGAAGTTAGCAGCTGGGACTAGAATTTGGTATGAGGTTGCATGGGGAATTTACCAAGTTCACAAAAATGTATTTCAGTAGACAAATGAAAAGGCATCTCAGGATGTTAAATCCCACTCTTGTTAGTAGCAAATAACTACATAAAACCAGCAATTTGTCATTAACTGTCCTAGCCATATAAGGAGATTTTTACTGTAACAAAATGACTATTTGACATGAGAAACTAGGTATTCTCCGAACTATGTGAAGTTTCCACAGATCTACTCCTAGAAAACATTTCTCTGACAGAGTTTACTGTGGCTGTAAACAGAGGGGGAATTTTCCTAGGGCTTAAATTTCCAGCCTTAAAAATGCTAGCCATATGACTTGGGAAGTCAACGTATCAATGAGGCTTGTTTCTACTCCTTCAGTATTTTTATTATTGCAGAACTGCATTCCTAAGAGTTTGTTTTTTATTAAGTCATCTTATTTTTCCTGGCCTTGAAAATCAGCTAAGATAGAGCTTTGTCAAAAACTGTCAGTGTTGCAATTATATTGAAAATCTTCTCAAACATATTTATCTGGAATAATAAAAGCTAAGCAAACAAAATTCTCTCAGGATTAAGAATTCTCTTGGGTTTAAGAGGGTAGATTGATACTCAGTTTTTAATTACAGGGCTGGGAGCATTTTTACAAATGTAAAGGGAAATCCTAGTTTTCATAGTAAATGACATACGTTACCCAGGAAGTGATGGTGACCTGTTTCTGCATTCTCTAGAATGAGAGACCTTGGTTTCCTAGATCAAGGCTTGAGTCTAGTCTCAGCCACAGAAGGCTTTTGGGAGCCATGAACAGCAAACTCCACTCTAACTGGAAACATAGGTGGAGTTACATTGGTGGAAGTGGCACCTGTGGCACAGGGTTTCCAACTTAGACGTGCCAAAATAATTGAAAGTGGTTGCATCCCAAATGTGTACAGGTTATTAATTCCTCATAAACTGAGATGTAAAGATGTCAAAACAGGGCATTATTAGTTTATATTATTTTTTATGCTTCTTAGACATTTACTTGCCAGTGATTAAAAAAAAAAGTGTTAAGCTACATCAGTTAGAGAAAACATACAATTTGTCATTTTTGAATTACACATGATACACACTTTTTAAAGAATGCATTTAAGTTCTGCAGTGGGACAAGGTAATTTTCTTTTTCCTAATCTGTTTTGAGTATTATTTCTTACACAAAGTTTCAGAAAGTTCACGTGAATGCTTTTGTTTTGCAGACCACTCTTAGCATTAGTGGTAGTTTGGGGGTTTTTTTCTTCAATTTCTGATTTCCAGTGGGATATACTTGTGATATTTTATTGATAATACCAACAGTTTATCTTTTTGCTGACTTTTAACCTTCCCTGTAGCAGAAGATTACAGATCTATGGCATATTTAGTGCTGGTGATCTAAGAAGCAGACTTTGAACTGAACCGTTTTCATCAGCTGTACCAAAGGGGAAAGAGCAAAAGCTTGTTTTTACTACTAAGCTGAGTGAATATGGCATGGAAATCTTGTAATGTCAAGGTATCAATTTGTAAAGTGATATATTTCAAAGGGGATACTAAATTTGACTGTGAATAAAAAGCTTTATAAATGGAACATTTAAGAGGCTATCTTTTACTTTTCAGTGTAGGGTTGCCTTGACATGCATCATTTCAATTTGGCAGCCCCAGCAGATTGATGGAAGCAATTCAGTATGATAATTCAGTATTGCCAAGAGGCTTCTTCTGAGTCTAGTGTGGACATGTTCCATGGACACATTTAAAGTCTAAGTGATAGAAAATGGATTTAATTCAGCTCTATATTGTTCCAGCTTTACATCAAGATAGTTTTGATATCAAAGGTACCTAGAGAGCATATCCAAAGAGTACATGAACTACAAACTAATTTTCAAGTGAAGGATCACCTCCAATTTATGGTGATACATCTTGCATAACAATGATCCAGCACAGACAGAAAAGAAGTAAAACTCAAATGTGGTTGCAAATGTACTTTATTAAAGTACTAATTCTAAGGGTAAATGCTTAGCTACTGTTTACCAGCAGAGTCTGTTAAAGTAAATGAGCAACTGCTGGGGTCTGCAGGTGAAAAAGTAGTCTGTGATATTCTCTCATATAATATGGATATTTCCATGGATATGGTGTGGCATTTGTTTTCTAGAATGCTTTTTTTTTCATTGTCACCTGAGTGGTTTTTTGCCCCCTGGGAACAAATGCGTCATTGTTAAAAGTAACAAAGTCCCCATCCCTATTATTGGAAGGTGAGAAGGAGAAATGCCTTGTAACAAACACTGACAAGTTGGATAGTGTAAACAATCTTTTTAATTTGTTGCCTTCGGCTGACAGACCTACTCCCCAGCTCACACACAAGACACAACATGTTTTCTCCTGGGAAGTTTCCCTGGAGAGAGTGATTCCTTTAGGCAGTTAATCACATGGGGTGCTGTCTGTGGATGTACACATTACACATCCACCTGTGTGTTATACATCTCTTGGTTGTCAGGAAGTTCAACGTTTAAAAGAATAGAAAGTGCATATTACTGAAATGCTATTGTTGGAGACTCTGTATAACATCACAAGCTTAATTCTCTTTAAGTCACTTTAACCCTTGATTTCATTAAGGTCACAGTAGCAAAAAATCCAGTACAAAAGAACTTTGTTGAGAGAAGTTGGCTTTATGTAGGTATGAATGTCTTTATGTAACAAAACCAGCACTAAGATACATACTTACAGTGAA